CCCCAAAACCCCAAAACCCCAAAACCCCTAATACGAAATCTCAGATTGAAATTAACAATATGTCTGATAGAGAGATTATCACCCTTGGTGTGTTAGTACTCAAAGATGGGAGGTTTTACAATGGCTCATCAGAGACAGTCTCAATGCTTACATATTTTGATGTGAGTAATAATAAGAGTTACCCAACGATGCCCTCAAAGAGTATTTAGACATACCAGTGATGCTTATGTTTGATATTTCAGCTGATTTATATTCTCTTGAAGAATTATATTCTTCCTCATTCAAAATATAATGTGATAAAGTTTCTATTTTCTGAGAATATTGCTTGAGACTCAAAATTTCTTGTTTCACCGGTTGTTCAAAATGTGAAAATATTCAATAAATCTCAAACGATGAATTGGCTTCTTATCTGGAAATTCATCTGAGGAAGGAATTTCTTTGTCCAGTTAGGCTGTCTCAGTGGTGGAGCTGCATATTTCTTTCAGCTCTATTTTTACCTCAAGTTGCTTCAAACTAAGAGCCTCATTTTTCTTTAAATTTAAATATAGCCAAAATTTCAGGAAGACTAAGAGTCAGACTTGAGGCAATATTTACGAAGCCATATCCGAAAATTTGGTAAAAAATTAACTCAAAACCGGTTGTATTTATGAATCTGGTAACGTCCTTAATCATGGGCCTCGGCTAGTTTTGGCCTCAAGTCTTCATTAGTATTTGAACTAACTTTCTTTTCTGTGTGCACAAGTTCCTAAATAATTCAGCAGCAAGAATTCTGTCAAAAATAGGATGATTCAATCAAATGCCAGTTTATTGATTCAGAAATAGAAGACTCCTTCACTATTTAGTGGAAAAATGCAATACTGAAAACTTTTTAAACAAAATTTGACAAATTTAGTTAAAAAGAAAGAGACTCTCTAGCTGAGTACCCACAATTCTCTTTGTAGATGTCTAAAATCTAACCTCTCAGGGTTGTCCAGACCCATGAAATATTCTTACTTCTCAGTACAAATTTACAGAAATCATGGAAGCATTTTAATCAGAAATTCAAGAGATTTCAAAAATCACCCAAAAGTGTTCGGAGTTAGCCCATAACATAAAATTTCAAGCTTCGACAACAGTTTTTTTGTTGCATTTTATAACATGAAGAGAACACCTCTGGAAGTGAATAAGGTATGATAAAAATAGCCAATATATTCGAAAGGATCAGATCCCCCACAATTTCAAATGCGCTTATTCCTTAAGGCTAATCATTGTTATTAGGAAGAATACCAACCGAAGAAATGGATGGGTTATAAGCAGGTATCATTTTTACTATGACCTTTGAGTTTTTATAAGATTGAGAGCCATTTGTGGTGAAACATTGATGATAAATGGCTTCTTTAAGTTATGATTTAGCACAATAATGGCTTTGTTGACAAAAACTACTCCTCCCATGTGAATATTGGGTTTTAGGACCAATATTCAATATTAGGAGTGTTTTACCAACATTTGGGGTTTTGGGGTTTTGGGGTTTTGGGG